TGTCATAGGGACCATTCCCTGGAGAAGGATATCATGCTTGGTAAAGCAGCAGGTCAGGGAAAAATAGGAAGGCTCTCAATGAGATGCATTGATTGACACAGTGGATGAAATGATGGGCTCAGGTATAGCAAGGATTGTGAAGCTGGTGCAGGACTGGGTTGTTTCGTTCTTTTGTACATAGGGTCACTGTGAGTCGGAGCCGACTCGACGGCACATAACAACAACAATACCATGTTCCTGGCAGCACTATTCACTACAGCAAAGAGATAAAAACAACTGAAGTGTCCATCAACATATGAGTGGATAAGCAAACTACATACACACAATGGAATACTATGTAACATTAAAGAATAATGATAAATCTGCAAATCATCTCATGACATGAATGAACTTGGAGGATAGTATGCTGAGTGAAATAAATCAATCACAGAAGGACAAATATTGTACGATCGGGTATTACAGAAAGTCAAGGAAAGGTTTACATAAGGAAGGAAATTTACACTGTTGGTTATCAGGATGGGAGGGAAAAGAAAGGAAAATTCCTAATTAAGAGACATGTTAATTTAGATGAAGGGAAATGCAATTTAACACAAATGTGTGACCAGCACAATAACAATAGAGGAAAAAATGATATAGAGAGGTACACAAGAGTACAGTCCAAAGAGGCAAAACACAATGCTGCATTATCAGTAAGAACAAACACTAGTCTACGGGTGGATACATAGGCAGACAGGTGAGAAGATCAGGTGCTCGTAGGCGAATGGGAATATACCCAGGACCACAGACAGATTTGGCTGATGATAGTCCTACATGTTTATCTGTGCTACAAAAATATCCATATACATTATAAAACTAACAGGGGATGACCAAGCACCTTGAGGGAGTGAGTTGCCAGGCCTACAGGCTTGGGACCATGGTTTTGGGGAACATCAAGCTCAATAAGCACAACATAGTACAGAAAAATATTGTTCTACATCCTACTTTTGTGAGTAATGACTGAGGTCTTAAAAGCTTTCGAGTGGGCATATAAAATGCAACTGTTGGTCTCTCTTTGTCTGGAGCAAAGAAGAGGGAAGAAAATCAAGGATATATGGAAACAATTAGTGCCAGGAACTAATGGCCCACTGGAACTTCAGCCTTCAAAACCCTGAGACCAGAATAACTAGAGGGTGCCTGCCTATCAATGCCAACCACTTAGAAGGGGATCAAAATTAGAGATCCTGGATAGAGTGGGAGGCAAAATGTGGAACAAAATTCAAAACCAGACCAGAATTACTTGTCAGGTGTTGTTGTTGTTATGTGCATTTGAGTCAGATCCGACTCATAGCGACCCCTTCCTTAGGTTTCTAAGGCAGTATCACTATGGAAGTAGATTGCCCAATCTTCCTTCTGAGGAGTGGCTGGTGGGTTTGAACCACCAGCCTTTTGGTTAGCAGTCATGTGCTTTAGGCACTATGCTCCTGGTAAAACCCCTGAGATTGTGGCTCTAGGTTATTCTTTGAGCCTGGAATTGGACTCACTTCCTTAGATTAGCTCTCAGCCAAACAATGGAAAGGACTACAAGCAGAATATCTGCCCAAGGGAGATGCACCACTTTGAAGAGTCAACCATGAGAGACTAGAGGGGCAGCATTTGCATAAGGGGAAAACTAGAGAGACAGGAATGAATAGGTAAAAAAGACACAGGACAGGGGAAGTCACAGGGACGAGATAGGGGGAAAGCTGTTTATTGTTGGGACTGTAATTGGTGCCATGAAACAAAATGCATATGAACTGTTGAGGGTAAAACAAATCACTTTGTACATCTGTACACAAATCACAATAAAAAATAATAATTAATTGACCTTGATGTCAAAGACTTTTCTTACGGTTATAAGGTTAACATCTATAAGGTTAATATCTATGAGATGGATATTTTATGTCCAGTGAGACCTGTGCAATATTCTAATTCACCAAAAATCATATTTGAGATAAAAATCAGGATAGTTTTAGAACATAAATTACAGCCATAATGTAAAACTGCTTCCAAACATTTAAAAAGAAATATTGAAAAGGAAAAAATACCAGCTTAGCAGGACCCTCAGTGGCAATAACATGACTACTTGAGCATCCAAAAAAAAAAAAAAATCATTTAGTAAGTAATTAGAATTAGTTGAACTTGAATCCATAATGATATTTAAAGGTAAAAAGTTATTGTAACATAAAAATGTAGTTATAGTTCAAAATAAGTGTAAATGTAATAGAATGTATTTAATATTTTATTAATATTAATGTGTAGTGCAGTGCTAGCATATCAAACCATGTTTCTTTTATTAAGCATGTGTTCAATTATAAGCAATTATAAGCTTTTTCTCTACCTGTATAATTAGGAAGCAGTCAATACAAAGAATTTTGAGTGAGACACATATTCCTGGAAAAAGAATAAAACCAAGAAAAAGAATAAATGATTAGCACCTGTGAAACACATAGACCTGAGGTAGAAAGCAAGTCCAGCAGTTAAATAGTGCTGGTGCTTCCACACAAATTAAAACTTGGTTCTGTTTTGTGTCTGTTCCAATGTGACAGAATGAATGGGCTAAAGATGTTCACTATAGGCACAGGCTGGATACCCTAGGAAATGAAGCCTCTACATTGCCTTCCTGAGTATAAAAAGATAGTACAAAGTATACATATATTCCCAATGATCTTAATAGATCAGCTCAGTGTTTAATAGTGATAAGGTAGTGAGCTGGCACTGTAAAATTTAAATAAAAAATTATTCTAGGGAAATTACATTGTGTTGCAATAAAAAAATATTGGCCTAACAAAGGAAGCTTCGTCATAAAAGTTGTCCTAACCAGATAACCAAGGAGCTCTGGTGGCATAGCACCTAAGGCATTTGACTACTAGCCAGAAGTTTGGCAGTTCAATCCCAGCAGCCACTCCATGGAAGGAAGATGGGACAATCTACTTCCATAAATATTTATTGCCTCAGAAACCCATTGGGGGTCGCTATGAGTTGAGATTGACTCAATGGCAGTAGGTTTGTTTTTGCTTTTTTAACCAGATAACCAGCAGTTCTCCTTGAAAGAGCTTGTAAGAAGTACTAGGACCCTAGCCCCAGCAAACAATGAAGTTCTGATAATCCAGGGCATATAACCTCAAGTGATCTGAAACAAGAATTCACCTTTTAGGGAACTAGTAAAATTATTCTTATCCTAGGAAGGTATGTAAATATGTCTATTACTGTAACCTTGTTGTTGTTGTTGTTGTTACGTGCCATCGAGTCGGCCCCAACTCATAGCGACCCCTCCTTGGGTTTCTGAGGCAGTATCACTATGGAAGTAGATTGCCCCATC